CAGCAAAACGTAATCTCCCATGGCCTTGTATTGAAGCTTTTCCATATTCATTGAACTTTTATTTTTAATTTGCCAAGTGCAATCTGTGTCGCAGTTGTAACTAAAATTGTGCCTTTTTTGATAAATAACATACGCACGAGTTCAATTTGTTGCAAATAATATTAGAAATTATTCCTCTAAATGCCAATTCAGGATGCGGTGAAAGGAAACAAATCCCAACATTTTAAAATGAAAAAGTATTAATCTGCTTGACCTAAACGCTTTCTTACTGATGGGGATGACTCCAAATATTCCTCATAATGGCAGACCACAGAGTTATGTGTAAAACAATGATGAAATATTCGCTTGAGCCACAAGAGCTGTTGCTGTGATGACACAATAGCAGCAGGAATGTGCAGGCATTGGCACCAAGTAGCTGACACAAGGGCCATTGCAGATTTGCAAAGAGTAGGATAGAACAGAAAGATAGGCAATGAAACATCAAGATAACAGCTGGAGAAATGAGTATAAAAAAAAGGCAGTTACATTGGACTCAAATAGTATTGTCAGGTTATGGAAAGACCCACCTTATTATGGAAGGTGGAGTTTGGAAGATGCTTCTTTGACTATCTTTAACTGTATTATCCTCATCACAGGCTGATGTAAATGCAGCTGATTTTGTGTGTGTAGCTGCCAAGGTGTGGCATAGGCAACCTGCACTAAATTTCCAAATTCTCCAGGGTTTACTTGATATGACGCAAATGACTTGCTCAAGCGTTGATTATTTTATAATTTTGTACTCAAAAGTTCAAGCACACACTTGCACGCAGCATTTGCTTAAAATACTAATTGCGGGGGTGGGGGTTTGAAGGAAAACAGAGCCAGCCCATTGCAAGCCTTTGAAAACCAAGGTCTTTCACTCCAGCGAAAGGTTACCAAGCATTATTCCAAAATTGTGCGCCTCTTTGTGTCTGTGTGTGTCTGTGTGTGTGTGTGTCTGTGTGTGTCTGTGTGTGTCTGTGCGTGTGTCGTGCCTGTTGGCATTATATCACTTGGACTTAAACTCACTCTCCCTGGTGTTAGGAAAGGTGATGTGAAAGCCTCTGGCAAAACAACTTGAGGAAACACACCATCTCAGGTGATCAACTCCAAATCCAATGACTGTTGTGTGGAAACTTAGTTAAGAGTTACGAGTCACAACAAAACTTTGCACACACGCCCCACCACCACCCCTCCCCTCCCCCATTTCATATCCATTCACCCTTTTCAGTTGCAGTGCTGTACCTCCTTTAAGACTTGGTCCGGTTATGATGAATTCATAGAGAGTTTAATCTAGTATGAACGTGATGGTGACTATCTTGTCAAGCTGTGTCTTGAGACTCTATGTTCTGACCTGTCTAAACTCAGCTGAAATATGTAAAATAGAAGCACAAGTTAAGCAAGCCTGTAGCAGCCTAAGGGAAAGTCAACGAGATGGCAGTTTCTTTCACTCACAACAGAACTAGTGCGGCTTTAGGCTGTTCTTAAAATGGAAACATTATGACGTTACTTAGAAGGCATCAACCAAACAGGAAACAAAATGGAAAAGAAGAAATGAACGCTTATGCAATCAAATCAGCAGTTCCACAGAAAGGTGTTCCAATAACATCTGCAGATAATTGCAGAAATACCGCAAATATGTTACATTTGGATGATCTCGCCGCAAACGTGAAGCAAGAATCTGTCTTCTTGGCCCACTTTTTTTTGAAAAAAAACCCCATTTTTTTTGCAGAAATGTTTTAAAGCGGACTTGTTCGTCTTACCTAATCAGGAAAGTTTCAGTATGTGTCTGGCTGCGTAGGCATCTTTTGGTCAATCATCAGAAAATCAAAGGCAATTGGCATAACTCAACTGAAACTTTAATACCACATGATTGTGTCGTGTAAGCTCGTTTTGTGCGAGGGCCATTGCAGTTTAGCAGAGAGATTAGCGGCCGGGCCAAAAGTTGGCCTCCAAACCTTGCCCTGCTGATGCTTCAAGCCCTTTGAAGTCTGACCATCATACCTGGCAAAGCAGCAGTGAGAACTCGGCTGGTGTCAGTTCTAATCACATTGCCTGCCTCAGCATGGTTAACTGCAGGGTGCACTAATTGGCCCAATTGTGGATTATACCTTTTGCTACAGATTCAAGACAATAATTTAGTCAAATGATGGTTTTTATCTCCTCCTAATTAAGATTCCAAAGTGGAAAGAAATAGGATTAGACAGGCTGATTTTTTTTTGTTTTTTTTTGTGTGTGGCGTTTCAATTCTCCGTTCATTTAAGAATGTTTGGTTTTACATTTGCATACTTCCTTTTAACAAAGTTCCAGCAACTCCACTATCAGGCCAATACAAGACTAGTATAATCGCTTAACATACTCTTGTGTCTATCGGAACACGGCTCTGAAATTGAAACGAGTGTAAATAAACTGGATTTCATGGCTGTCTTATAAAATTATATAACATGACCTCATTAGTCTAATAAATGGGCCTCTTGGTAAGGGGTCTGCTGTGCATGTGGTGGAATGTGCAGAAAGAGGTAATGTACAGATCTGTAAATACAAACTGACATCTCTGCACACGTTATCTTGTGTACATTCTACGCTCTTGTTTCAGCACAATGTTGGCTCTTGAGTCAATAAATAGCATTTCATTTTACAATAAAAAAATGGTGCAAAGAAAGATACCATCATTTTAGGGTTCGATAACAAATACCTATTAGGGTGTGACCTCAAGTGCTCAGCACTGTCCAGTGCTATCTTGGATCTTGTCTAGCCTTGGAATAAGGCTTCCAGGAGTTGCTACTTGTATCGTAACACACACACTTGTACCGTATACATCGACAGGATGAGAACAGGATTGTGCCATCGATGTAAAGGTGGCAGGGACCATCAATGCGGCTCCTGTTCTGTTGACAATATTTTTGGGGCCGTTTTGCTGAACTCCTTCCAGCAACGTGAATTCAGAAAAAACACCTTTGCCTTTCCAGTAAACATTAGCCTTTACGTTTGTTGGTTATAGGCTGTGATGGTGGTGCTACAATTGGCCTCAGGGCCCTTGGTTTGGGAGGGAAAAAAATCACTAGGTTTTTGCCCTGATGGCTATCCAGTGAGCCCTGCTGGGGGTGAACACTGATGGAGGTTATATGATATACTATATATATATATAAATCCTTCCCCATCTTCAGGTTGTATCTGAAGACTTTCCTCTTCGACCATGCCTATGGTCATCTCCCCACTGCTTAGCATTGTGCTCTGCCACTGTCAAATGAAGAAAACTGACCCCCAAAAAGGAACCAGATGCTAGTTTTATCTAACTCATTTGTTTGTGTTACCGCTGAATAAATACAATGAAATAACAAATATAGGGTGGGGGGAAATGGAGCTTATTTCTCATCAGTGAGTGTTACATTGATGTTTGTTTTGAGTCGCCTTTTGCAGAAAATTGCTTCCAATTACAACTGTGCTTTATAGCAAAGAATCAAAGGGTCTTTCCAAGCAGCCTTCCTGATTTTACAACTTCTACATGTAGTGCTAAGTGGGTATTACAGGGAAGAAACCCAAGCTTGACATATACAACACTGCTCTGAAGATGACCCAATCCAACAATTGGCCGCCTGATTAACTATTAACTGGTCTCAAAGTGATTAAATGCCGAAAGCACTGATGGCCATTAATTAGGAGGAGGGCATCTTAATTTGTCACTGGATAGGGTCTTTAATGATTCATGGGTTTTCAAGATGGGGAGGCGAGGGGACAGAGGAAGAGCAACTAGCTGAAGAAAGGGAGGTGGACACAACAGTTGCCTTATCAAGTGGCCAGCTTAGAGGGCAGAGGGTCAGGAAAGGGCCACAGTGGTCACTTTAGGGTGAAGTACCAAACACCAAAGCGATGCCAACCCAAATTGACCAGCAGCTAGTGAATAAGGCAAAATATGCTAATTTACTTGTGCCTTTTCTCTTTCAGAAGATGAAATAGCAAAGACAAGTGGCCTGCTTAAATGCTTTCCACTTGACAGGAGATTAAATAATATGGTTTGTCAGTGCTGCCCACTTATTTTATCTCTAAGCGAAGACACTCACACAAGGACTGGAAGAAGAAATAATTATCACATCACAAAAAGCCACTCCTCAAATATGCGTTCACCTTTTCATGCTTAGTTAATTAATACTTCAGCCTTAATTGGTTAACAGTTGTGCTCATTTTCTATTATCAGTGGAAAAAAAGGAATGAATTCAATTCAGTTCCAACACACCAGGATTAGAAACACAATGCTTCAGGTCACTGAAAATGTTTACATTCAGTAGTATATTTAAAGCAGCTTTTGAAACCCCTTTACAATTCCAAGAACAATAAAGTCAGTAAGGTTTTTCTTAACACGAGGAAAACAATGGTGGTAGCGATAGCATTAACTGCTAGAAATGCAGCAGTAAACTAAACAGATTTTCAATTGGACGCAATCATTTTGTTTTAAGATAGTTTCTGAAGAATCAGTTTGAGGAGATTGACCAACACAGTGAGACAAAAACAAAAGTTTAAAGATTGTCAGTTTTTTCCTTTTTTTAAAACATTTTTTCCATTCAGATCTGCAAATGATGCACATGGAACTAAAGCAACCTGAACTAGCTTTCCCTGTATTAATCTGAAAGAAGATGAACAGTTTGCAATGTTGCTCACCTACCACATACTCCTCTGGATAGCTGAGACCAAATATTAGGCTCACAAATTCTAACACGGATGCTTCTCTCCCCACCCCCACCCCCTGCCCACCATGTCAATTGCTCGTACTGCAGGACAATCATTTGTTCCCTCACAGACTAAAATGTGAAGGTGATAGCTTATGTGAAAATAACCTATTGCACATACAAATGTAATATAAACACAGTGCACTCAGGAAGTATCATGGCGAGTGCCTTCAATCTTATCAGGTTACTATTTACATAACGTTAGAGGCGGAAGGAAGTAAATAAAAATGCCAACCCTCCCACCTCCATGTTTCCTACCTCGATAGTGAACAGTTTTCGTTTCAATTTGAAAGCGAGATCCTTTGTATCGGGCGCATCGCAGATTAAACTATTAAGACGAGGAAGTTGCCGTATGTGGAGCAAACCTTTGAGGATGAAAAATGAAGTTAAAAAAAAACGCCATGCCAAAGGCTGCATAAATTAAACAAGCTGACAGCAGAACTCTCCACATTTACATTCCTCACTGTCCTCGTTTAAAGCAGGGATTGCCACCAGAAGCAATGAAGCAAATAGCACGATTACGCTCAAGTAATCAGGCAGAATAAGATAAACAAAAATCCTTGTCCAAGTGAAAACTAATTACGCTTAGGTGCCGATGTGGAGATGTAAACAAAGAGGCTTCCGAGGCTTGTCAAAGCTGAGGCCCATTTGTGATATTTTCCCTTGTATTTACAGTAAGCAAATGGGGCTATCACCTTGCCTGCCTGCCCAAAGCACTGCTGAACGATCTTTATTTTATTAAATGCACCAGTAAGCAGCCACCAAAACATGGCTTATGGGTTAGAAACCTCGATTGAGAAATTTTTTATAAAAAAAACCTTTCAACTGACTCGCGGCTTCAGTCGTTACACAAAAAAGAAAAATTCTCAACACGCCTCTTACAATTTTTTTAAAAAACTTCCAAATAGGCGTAAAAATGGGTGTGTAAAGCAAATGAATATTTATAAATGAAGCTGGTTTATGACTGTTCTCACTGATGTACACATGTGAGGTCTGCTCTTAGCTCCAAGCTCAAATCTAAGCTGATCTTTTGTGACAAGAACATTGGCTGGGTTGGTGCAGTCTAGTCATGGTTAAGGGAATTGGTAAGTTCACTGGCCGAGTGGCCGCCTGGCTTCCTCTGCATGTGTATTCCCAAAAGCCTGCCCACAATGATGCACATCTGATTGAGCACTGTCTTGGTAATGTGGCTTGACAACTTGCGAGGAGTTACCATGTTATTTTCACAGGCCCTAATGCACAGGAAGAGATAAGCAGGCTGACCGACGGACAGCTATCTTGGGAGACATTCAAAACAGATTCTGAAATGAAATCAATTATTACCTTATGCCAGACAGGCCAATTAGAGAGCGAATTGCTAAATTCTTACTCTGTTTTGCTCGAGACTCACCGTGATAGTCCTTGTAGAGTGGATTGGTTTCCCTCTCCGAACTGTTAAATGATTCAAGACCCACCACTGTATCGGATAGCTTCCTTACACGGCCCATAATTACCTTGTTCTGTAAGACATGAAAATTGCTTGAAAATGTTAATTACGGATAAAAAGAAACATTTGAAAAAAAACTCTCAAACGGTACATCATTGTGTAAAAAGAATCTAAGTCCCACGGAAAGTTCAAACAACAGAAATGTAAAAATCAAAGTTCCATGCCTGTGTTCAGGAAAATGTATCGGAAAAATGTGTTTCAATGATTAACAGGTCACATTATGGTGGGGAACGTGTTCAAATTTCATCACAGACAGCATAATCCAAGGAAATACTTGGATATTACGCTGTGCATTTTTCATTGAAGCACCTCCCGACAGTATTAATAATCATAATAAGCATTAGAAAGCATCTGGTTAATGTTCATTTTTCACATTGTGATTTTTTTTACAGAGTGGCAGTTCTGCACGCAGTGGAATATTTTCACGCACATCTCTAATGCGATAAATATAAACTAAACACTTGGAATTAACTTGGAACAACTCCTAAAAGTTTCAAATCCCTTAATCGTAAAATTATAAATCAAAAGAGTTCTCTGAATTAATTTTAGCAAGGAGTTTTGAGTCTTAGCTCCATGGTTTATAAACGTGTGCATAATAAAATAAAAACAGTTGGATAAAGCCTCGTGTGCACCATCAATTTTTCAGATTTGAAATTTTCTATTCAACAAAATTCATAATCATTACACGTTAAGAATGGCTATGGACGAGTTAATTGGCTCAGTGAGGTTATCCAGTGAGTAGCGAAACCTTCAACAACATTAACAACTTACATTTATATAGTGCCCTTCATGCGAGATAGCGTCCCGGAGAGCTTTACAGTGGCGGAGTCTGAACCTGAGCCAGGGGAGAGGTGACCGTATTCACGATCAAAAACCTTATACAATACACTCGTAAGATCCCAGGTGAGAGTCCTAGACTGTGTTGATTTCAGGTGGCACCTGAAGTGTTACAGTTGACCTCAACACCCGAGGAGGAAAGTCAGCCAGGGTGCCTGCTCCAGATTTCAATCCAGTGACCCCTGCTGGAGGTGTGCGTATGTGGACATTGAGATTGGCTCGGTTCCGATTTCCCCCCATGGTTGAAAAGCCTGGGGACAATCCCTGTCACACATGAATAATGGGCACTTGAGCTAAGGACTGGAGATGGAAGGAATTGGAGTTCAATGCCTTCAGGAGACGTAGGGAGGGAATAAAATTGGTCTTAAATGAAAATCTTTTATATTGTAAATCGTTATTCATCTACATTATACTCTGAACCCTTGGAAAGCCTCTTGTTTTATGGGAGATGTCACAGTTGGGTCTGCATTTGTACACACTACAATAAATAATAATCTCTGCATTTGATATAGCTCTTTATCACGTCGTTGAGATGTCTCAAAGGGCTTCACAGAAAGTGAATTGACTGCATACTTTCAATTAACAATGATCAATTTGCAATATTTTTAAAATGTGCACTTATTCCACCAGTCCCCTATGAGGAAGCCTGCTATACTTGCACCAATGAAGGTTCTTTGACTTTTCCGTGCATTGATCTATTACTCCTTGTTCTATGTTATCATGTGAAAGAAGAATTGACAAAGAAATTAATCAGACAATACATGCTACAAATCAGAGAACTTTGAGTCTCTCGATTATTTTAATCTCTGCGTAAATGACGGTGACGGCTGCTGCTGTTGTTTTAAAAACTGCGAAAGAGAGCCAGTGTTAGAAAAGATGTTTGGTGTTGTATTTCTCTTTTCTATTGTGTGCTGATGCTGTCGAGTGAAGGAACAGTAAACAATCGAGTGACAATATACAGGGTGCAGCACAAAGCACTGAAAACATGAATGTTGGCAGAAAATGTTATGGTACGTCTGTTTATTCAATGGAAAAAGTCCATATAAAATTTGCTTGCATATTCACTCACTCAATCACCATACAATGGGGTCTGACAAGTGCCTAGCAGAATTGTTTAATAAAGAATCCCAGTGGGGACTCCTTCTGGCAATACAGAAGTACACGACTCTGATCCACAGGAACTCCGCTCTGTGTGTCATGTTGGAGTGGAGTTCCAGCGAGTAGGTATCACACACTTCGGTTTCCTTATTAAGGAATCGGGATAGAAATTCCTGCATAGCAGAACCCAATGTAAACAAATCCCCATTAGATCAATCTGTGGCACTTACACTGGTCTCCTGTTTGTGGACACTACTGTGATCTACAGATTCAGGAGCGTTCAAGTGGCAGTGCCTTCAACCACCCTCAACTTGCTCCTCATAAGGGATCAGCGCAATCACAACAACAGGAGTCACTGATTATTTTTTGTTTAAGCGTTGGCAAATATATTTAAAACGCGTTATTAAATGAAAGATGTTGGGGGGGCGGGGAGGTGGAATTAAAAGGCAGCAATTCATTCCCTGGGCTGATGACATCAGTACCCACCAACTGAATCAATTACGTTCTCATAACTCTTACCACAGCATCATTAACCTAAATATAATTAAAGCGAATGGCAAGCTATTTGGTTCATTGCCAGTCTGTACTTGGGTCATGTAAAAGCTGCTCTGATGTTTCCTGTACAATATTGTCAAAACTCCACAAAATCAGTTAACCTAACAGACTGGGAAAATGATTGTGCTTTTACTTTAATGTTATCAATTCCCTTTGTCACCAGGACTCCAGGCAATAGACTGAGAACTTCTATCAATAACGTACCAAAGTGAAGGGCACAACTTAACCCCTAAACAAAATAGAAACAGGAACAGCCTGATCTGCACATAATTAGATTCAAATGAGATATTGGTAAGCAAACAGCCAAATTAATTTTTCTTTTAAAAAAATCTGTAAATCTGGATGTTGCGATGAAGCGATGGAAACTTTCGAAAGGGAATATTCACCTTAGTGTCTGCAAAGAAACATAAGCAAGGGATTAACAATGTATGTGTGTATGTTGGGGGGTGTGGGGGGGGGGGGGAGGGAGGGAGAGAGCGAGAGCGAGAGAAACAGATGACTCCTGCAATGATGGAGCTGGTTTCAGATACTGAAACTTCTAAATGAGCTTACACTAATCCTGCACCAAGTGTCCGCACATTGATGGGAGAAAAATTATAGCCTGTCATCAGATACAGACAAGCAGACCTTAGTCCAGATGGAAGACTGACTGGGAGAGGGGGCAGGTGGGAAGAATGATGAGAAAGTAATGGTCCACAGAAAACCGCTCCCTCTGCTGGCCAGACTGACACCAGTTAGAATTTCAGCTGTCTGGCTTTTTTCATATACATTTTTTATAATCATGTTCCCTGGAATTTTAAATAATTGACAAGATTCCTCCCCGTCCCCTTCTGCCTTAGATTGCTTGAATCGTTCCTTCAGGCTTCGCAATCCTTCCGACAAATGTAAACATCCACTCCCGTCCTTCAATCAGCCTCTCACTGAAGTCAGTGTTCTGCTTCCAGGGACTAATTATCAACGTGATGTGAAATGATGAACTCGCTATTAATTAAGTTTAAAAAGGGCATCGACACCACCATGTTGCTGATTCACTACTTTCTAAATAAGCTATTTCATCTCGGCACTGGAATCCTTTATGTAATATGTTATTATCCGCACGATTTATACCAATTCAGTGATGAGCATGATAATTAAGACATCTAAATCAGCGGAATGCGAAAACTAATAATACACGGATGTGACAGTAATAAAAGTTTTCTCCGTTTTGATGGATACAAAGAGCATATTGGACGTGAGAAAAATACAAGTGAATGTTCTTAATTACAGTCACTATCAAGCTTTTCTTCAACTCTTCTCGAGAAGATGATTTTTTTTTTTTTGCCCCTACTTTGCTTGCCAGGTTATTAGGACGACTGGTGCCTTCTGTTACAGCATCTATCTGCACTTCTGTTTCAGAGATTTTGGCCTTAAACCAGCATCTCCCAGAGCAGGAGGGATCAGCTTTTTCCCCACTGTTTTCAGATAAAGCCTGGCTTCAGAGTTACTCCAGCTCCTTGCTTTCCAGAAGGTTCCATCCCAGGAACTCTCGCTTGCCATTTGGTTTGCATTCTCATCTCAAAGGAATTGGCTCGCAGTGTTCCCCTATGTTGAACTGCCATTTGCTCTATAAAGTGAGTTATTATTAAACTTTTAGGTCAGTTGTGGCACTAACAAGTCTTCTGAAGCTTTCAGCCACACACTACAATTTGCCTGCTAATTAAATATTAATACAAAGTGGTGCATTTGTGGATAAGAGCTTTTATTTTCCTTTCATCTTTTCGAGACGAGGAGGGGAAATGGTTCCGAGGCAATTTTCTGCCTTACAATGCACAAAAGAAGCAATGAGAAATAAATCACAAGCTGAGAATTTGTTTTACAGTGAAAATACTAAGGTTTGAACGTTAAAAATTGCGGATGAAATACTGTACACAAATAATCAATGGCTTATGATAAAAGAAGCAGAAAAGGCAACATCAATCTTCAGCCGATGCGATCACCTTTTTGCTATTAATCACAGATAATGCTGCAGTTAATAAACATCTTTTTCTGAAAGATATATATATATATAAAATGGGATCTAATATGTGGCAATTTCAAAATAAGGCACTGGGAAGTAGGTCATATCTGCTCCCAGGAATGCCCCTTTGATGCAATCTGCTGCAGGAGCATCGCTTGCAGGTCAACCTGACATACGTCAAGTTACTGGAAGCAAACATCATTCCGATTCCTTATTAAGAAACCCTGTTAGAAATTCTTGTGCATTCGACTCCAATACTGCCTCGAAGATGCCTACCTACCTACACAATGTACAGTGCACAACCGTTCATCTGTTAAAAAACAGTTATTTCTGAGTGATAATTCAGTGGTGTTTAAAATCGGCTTTAAATCCTTTTATTTTTTCTAAATGCCAGAAAAACCTCTGGACTTGCCCTCTTTGTGTGTAGAACAGTTGTACCAATGGCCAGGACATGGGCAATCTGCAGCCTATGTAGCTGAGAAGCCAAAGATTCCATATGTCCGAACAGATGACTATTCCCACACTGA